ATAGGCTTTTATTTGGGGAATATCCTCCAGCGCACTATGGACGCCCCGATGTCGATTCTCACTTGAACTCACTTTAACACTTTGTTAATATTCCCTAGGATGGGACCGCAATCTCCTCGCATATCGTGGACATTCTTTAATTGAGTTCATATATAATTATTATAATTGTATTTTTTTATTTTAATAGTTTCAACATTGAGGAAGACAATAACTCAAAAGTATCGATCGCACACCCAAAGGTCTATGTGGGACTGATATATCGACCATTGTGATCACTCGGTACATGAAATCCCAAATCATTCATCGACCAATTTAACAGATGTATTTACAAAGAAACTAACGATGAAATTCTATACCCACAGCTTTTTTTCGGACCAGATTTCTATCAACCAACAACCCCTAGTATACCATTCTTCAGCACTAATCTCAAGTCTTGTTAAATATAAAGGCCATGAGCTGCATGTGCTCTTCCTTTATGTTACCCTAGTACTACGGCCATCAAATTTACATAGATCAAATATGAACGTTCATGTTTATCAGTGACTTTGTGTTAGTGTTACACTGTTACTCAGGCAGGTGCTTTGCCATGTAGTTCAGTACCCAAACTTTTATGCCCTGTACTAGAGGTCACAGCTTTGCATCTTATGTTAACTGTATAGTCCACTTAGTATTAGTTAGGCAGCTGCTTTGCTACTTTCAGGGACAAAAATGACCTCTCTGAATACATTGTATTCATAACCTGACCACGCTAATCTCATTCTCATACTAACACCATTTGGATTCCTGGTTGGGTAATATGTGGTGCTAGGCTCAAATTATTGAACTTTAGCTTTTATTGTTTCTCTGTTCTTGACTTATTTAGATGAAGCCATTTCTCTTGAGTACTATCATCATGAGTAACTAACTGGAATGGTTGTCCTGCCACAGTAGTGATGGTTATTCTCAAGGGTTCTAGCACTTGGCAATCTGTTAGGGTTTTGAGCAGGATGTTCATAGCTACATGACACCTTTCTGTACGCTGCCAATCAATCAATTGTGTTTATTGATGTTAGTTTAAAGAGAATTTGTGTGAATCAGTAAATCTCCCAATGTTTCTCTTTGGTAAATATTGCAAGTCTGCAACAGGGATTTTTTTCCTCCTGCCTTTTATTTTGGGGGAATATCCTCTAGGTGCATTAACACCCCGATGTTGATTCTCACTCGAACACTTCGTTAACATTCACATGACATAGCCTAGAATCCCTAGGACTGGAATCTCCTGCATATCGTGGACATTCTTAAATTGAGTTCATATATAATTAAACTGTATTCTTTTCATTTTAGTAGTTTGATAGTTTCAGCATTGAGGAAATAACTAGATAACTCGAAGTATCTGATTGCACACCCAGTGTCTATGTGGGACTGATATACTGACCATTGTGGTCACTCAGTACAAGAAATGCCAAACCATTCATCTTCCAATTTAACAAATGTATTTACAACAAACTAACTGATGAAAGTCTGTGCTCACAGTTTTTCCGGACCAGATTTCTATCAACCAAAGAACCCCTAGTGTATACCATTCTTCAAAGACTAATCTCAAGCGTTGTTAAATATGTGGACCATGGGTTATGCGTGTGCTTTTCCTTTATGTTACCCTAGTACTACATCCATCAATTTTACATACATGAAATTTGAAAGTTCATGTCGATCGGTCACTTCGTGTTAGTGTTACTCATGCAGCTACTTTGCTATGTAGTTTAGTATCCAATTTTTATGCCCTGTACTAGAGGTCACAACTTTTCATCTTCTCGTTAGCCGTTTAGTCCATGTAGTGTTAGTCAGCAATTTGCTTTGATACTATCAAGGACAAAATGACCTCTCTAAATAGTGAATACATTATGTTCATAACTGACCATGCTAATCTCATTCTCATATACTAACATTATTTGGTTCGTGGTTGTTGACCTGTGGTGCTAGGCTCAAATTACTAAACTTTAGCTTTTATTGTTTCTCCGTTTTTGACTTATATTTGGATGAAGCCATTTCTCTTTAGTACTATCATCTTGAGGAACTAATCTGGAATGGTTGTCCTCCCTGAGACGTGATGGTTGTTCAAGGGTTGTGGTGCCTATGGCATTTGAGGTACCTAGGAGCCCGTAGCTTACGGTGAGCTTGTTTCCATTGGAGGCCTGAACCACGATGTGAATAAGAAGTCGAAAGTGTTGGCATTGCTTCTATCCCGGAGTCAAAGCTGTCCGCATCCAAGTCGTGCTTCTACCTCAAGTTCTATGACTCAAAGGTAAGCGTACCACTATTCCTTATTGATTGCTCATTCATGGGTCTTCATTACCATCATCATGTTCTCATTGGAATTTTTTGTTTGTTAGGCCCATCCAAGACAAGGACGTGCTCAATGTTTGCATGCTTTGCATCAAGAATAGATCATGTAAATAACCATATCTCGATTGGTTCATCGTGTTTATATTATTAACACACACAATCGATCGCTAGATAACATTTGGTTGGGTTCTGGTTGACACTTGGGTTGGATTGGATTGCAGCTCATGTTGTCGTAAATAATAGAATGATGGACATATGTTTTTGGCCACACAAAGCAATCTCAAACCATTTGTAGAACTACAAAGAGTGCTTGATTGACGGTTTGTAGGGAAACAAGGTGTCGACATCAACATTCAAAGAAAGGTGCAGCTCTCAACTTGTAATTAAATTTCTGAGCCAATGCATATACAGGTTCCACATTATCAATTCTCGAGCAAATGCATATACATGTCCCACATTACTGAATTCATATGAATACTCCCTGCTACTATGATCTGTACTATTTAGATTTCATGAGCTCTGTTTCTTCTGCTCTTGTGTAAACTATAGACCTGTAGACTAATTGCACATGGGATCTTTACATTTTCTTAATACATGAGCAATGGACTATAGATTAGTATAACTTTATTACCAAATACCAATACTGCCCTTCCTTTTTTTTGTGCTTATTCACTACTAATTGCATTTGACTCTTTCTTATGTAGTGCCATTTAATTTGCTTGCAAGCAAATATCAAGTACAAATTTATCATTTTCTTCCCTTAGTTTCATGAGAGCATATTATCTTAAATTTCAGTACTTGAAATCTTTGGTGGCTAGAATTTGGAAAGACAATGACCTGTATGCTTTCAAGATAAAGTTTCGAGTTTACACACCACCGGCTGCACTCTCAACTCTGAACTGTATTCTTTGAAAACAAAGCCACATGAACTGTTAGAATGATTAAATTAGAATGCTACCTACACATCAGGGATTGGTTCTTTGTTCTCACATCTTGTATAAATTTTATCAGGTTGCTTGTTTACAACAATCTCTGGAGTTTGAGCATCACCTAGACGATGTGAAAGATCAGTTTTGGATGGTTGACACTTGACAGCGAAGTGGGGTCCATGTCTTGCAACCTACAAGGTCGATGCAGAGGTAATCTGCAATTTTCTTAAGAGACCCAGAACCTACTATATCCGTAGATGTGTCTTTTCTTGTTCGCGACCTACTATATGTAGTCAACTACAAATGATCCCATAAGAGGAATGCCATCTTGTTAGCTTTGTTGCTCGTCAAGGTTGGTTGTCAGAAGCTGGTCTGGTCACCTTATGTAGTTTGGCTGTGGCACGACATAACAAGAAGTCTGATACTCTGTGGGTTACTTCTAAGATCTGTTACATCCCAACAACTCAGATCATATGCATTCTCAGATCTTGTCTTCAGAGACCCACTTGTACTTGGTGCCATCGAGCTAGTAGTTTCTTTCTTATGTTCTTTGTTAGTATATGGCCATGATAAGTTGCAATTCGGTACATTTGGATTCTGCGAACCCAAAATTTTGATCCATGTTGCTTCTCTCTTCAACAGATCGTTCTTATGTATAGAAGCAGTGAAAGATGATGTCTTACCGATCAGAAGGCGAAACATCTTATCTAACTCGAAGCAACCTGGCATTAGTTGAGCAAATATACTATGCTTTTCATCTAGTCAACTACTTAGGTGAAATCAATAATATTTATATTCTGTAGTGAAAGAGTATAGACTTGTTGATTGTGCAGGTTTATAATTTTTATAGGCATGTAACTTTGCTTCTTTTGAAAGCAGTGTTTATATGCATCTAAAATGGAGTGATTCCTACTTTTGTAATAATACATCATACTGAAGCATAGTAACTTTATCTGATCATGGATCTATGTTTCAGGTTCATGAATGAATCTATTTGTATGAGAAATGTGCACAATGATGTTACTTTTGTATTAATTTGCAACCAAATGGCCTTTTATTTTTTTAGATGCATTTAAATGATCTCGTCAAACCATCAGTCGCTAAAAATATTTGTAACTTTAAATTGTCTGTCGCTATAGAGTACTGGCAGGCTATCTGATGCTAAAGAGTAGTAACAGACTATCTGTCGCTAAAAAATTCAAGGCAATGGACTGTCTGACGCTAAAGATTTTTAGCGACAGGAATTACAGCGTCTGCAGAAGTCTGTCGTTATAACTTTTTAGCGTCAGATTATCTATCGCTGTAGCCGCTTTTAGCGTTAGACCGTCAATCGCTAATTTTGATGTCGTGGCGTAGTGTGAGCTGCTGGAGCCGGGTGCCCCCGTCGTTTCTGCTGGCGTTCAGAGCCACGGCCGCCGTCGCGCTCGCCGCCGTGCTGGCGTGGGACCTGCGGACCTACGATCCCAGCATCATGATGTACTACACCGAGTGCGTGCATTCGTTGTCTCCCTCGAATCGATCCTCGCAGATATAGCAAGTACAGTTCAGTAGTGACAACAGCCTTTTTGCAGATGGACACTGCTGCTAGAGATCGCCTACTTCGCGGTACGTGTCATCAACGGGTTCATAGCACGAGCACGCACATGCACGTCGGCACGTGTTAAGTTTCCGGCCGGCCGGCCGGCCCTGAATTGATGCTCCGAGTGAAACGTGTAGGCTGCCACGCTGTGCTCCGCGTACGGATGCCGGATGATGTACTACTACTCGTCACGAGACCGCGCGGAGGATCCCGAGAGCACCGACGACAGATTGCTCGGCCCCAGCGGTGGCGGTGGCGACGAGCCGAACCCAAGCGGTGATGCTTGGAAGGGAGCTGGGCGACTGGGACTCCAGCTGATGCAAATTGGCTACCAGGTTCTTGCTCTGGCACTCACAGTCACAGCTTATATTGTTGGCATATCAGTTGGTGCTCCTGTCTGTCACGCTTGCGGCAGAACCAAACCTGTGACATAATTAAAATACGGGCCTGTTTCTTCACAGAAAGAAAAGGGTTTGTAATTAAGCAATCTGGTTCTTTCAAAAAAAAATTAAGCAATCTGATCGTTCGTCCCGGTTGCAGGTCAGTGCCGGCGCGGTTGTCCTGACGGATGCGGTCTTCTGGGGCCTGATAGTACCATTCACGTTGTCAGCTCATTTCAGTCTCAATGCAGTGAGTGGTTCTCATCACTAATCGTTGATATTAGTAGCTATTAAATGAAAAAAAAGGTACAGATTTTATCTTTACAAAACATTGCTGATATTCCGATCGCTTCAACAAATTACCTGCGTAAATGTGACACCTTCGATCGTTTCAGGTGATGGCCTGCATACACTCTCTCAACCTTGTGTTCCTACTGACAGAGACTGCACTAAACACCTTGGTACGTAAAGTTGGGATGGAACAGTCTTTCGCAAAGCCATGTGGATCTGACGTGACACTACTTCTCTGTTTCTGTAGCCCTTCCCTTGGTTCAGAATCGCATACTTCGTTCCCTGGACGTGCCTGTACGTGATCATCCAGTGGATCGCCCATGTCTGTGGTATGACATGGTGAGATGTGACTCTCAGTGCTTCTATTGATTGTTTGCTATACAAATCGTTGCTAACCTTCAGTGCTTTCACCCTACATATCTATGCGCATTTGTGCAGGTGGCCTTACCCTTTCCTCCGTCCTACATCATCCTTGGCACCACTGTGGTACGGCGCCAGATCAATCAGTTTTCCTGAATACACATTTTCGACATTTCTGTTTGTTGTCATTGCGAATTTGCGATAATCAGAAATCTGCATGCAGGTATTTGACCATGGCATCGCTTCATTTCCCATGCTACCTCGTTTACTGGCTGATTGTTAAGGCAAAGAGCAGCTGCTTGATCCACATGCAGGTTGCAAATAGGTCCTCACAGGTCTAATAGATCCACCATGCACCCGAGCAGAACTGAGAAACTGGACCTGGGGGCAACCACATACAAGTAGAATCCTCACGATGTCTTTATTCATCGAGGAGTTTAGTTTTATGTTTGAACAATTGGAATCCTCACGATGCGGCAACACGGATTCCCATTTCTGGTAGTGTTAGTGCACAATGTGCAGACTGCCGAGGCAGGTATATATAGTGTGACAATGTGAAGGATTTATTTGCAGACGCAGGATGTAATTTAAGATGCAGATTCAGATTGGATCTGGGAAGCATGAGAGTATGTATCCTTGGGTTGGACCATTTCCCTCCTTAGTATCTCCTTTCGGTCTTCAGGCCCAGGTTGTAGCCTCCTGGGCTCTTGGGCCTAGACCGGCCTCTTCAACTCTACTTATTTCGCTATGGAAAAATCTTTTTTTTTTATCGGGAATTTTCATTCCATTACTCAACCATGTCAGCTAAATCGCTTGACACCAGAAACGAGATACACTCTGACACTCCGGCCAACATAGAGGGCGCCAAATCATGGCTCCTGCTCCCTAAAGAAGCTAGTTCGTGGGCTACTTTATTACAATCACGCGGCACATAATTGGCACTTAAGGTAGTAAAGCTCTCTGCTATCAAGTCTTTTAGATCATGGACTAAGCTTCCCACCACAGCAAGTCTGAAATCATCTCCCTGTATCGCCCACACCGCTTGTTGTGCATCCATTTCAAGAATTACATTGCTGATTCCCAGAGCTGTCGTTGCCTTCACCCCTTCTACGCAAGCAATAAGCTCCATATGCAACGGGTTACTCGCAAAAGGCACTCTTCCTGACCCTGACTGGATCGCATCGCCACTTTCATCTCGGATCACATAGCCCCATCCGCCATTCTTATCAGACTCCCTAAAAGCCCCATCCACATTCAGTTTGAGCATGCCAATTGGAGGTCTTTCCCATTTACTTCTTCTAGTTCTGGCCCTTGGTTCAGCAGCAGGTAAAGACTGGAGGTTTTTAATCTCAATAGCTTGCCGCCCACATAACAGTGCAATATCGTCAGGTGAACGTCGCCGTTCTCCTTCTCCGACTTGATTGCGCTCATGCCACCAATTATTCAGAAGGAGCACTGCCCACAACTGTTGCTCATCATCTGTTGCCAGCAGTTACCACTTTCTTCGCATTACTGCAGTTGGTCAGCTCCAGCTGCAATGCCTCCATCCCTGCACTTCTCCATAGCGCCCTTACTGATTTGCATTTCAGGAAGAGATGGCCTCCATCCTCGCCCTCTCTGTTGCACGTGATACACCGGTCATCATCCACTCTTATGCCTCGGTTGCCTGAGTCAGGTTTTCTACTCGAACTCTAAGATCAGATAAACTATATCCTTGAAGTCTAAAAACCATTTAAATTACCTCACTTTCCCGGTTAGAAATAGTTTCAATGAGGCTTTATCTTTTTAAATGAAAAGAATTCGGTAAACACCGGATAAGTTTTTTTTTTAGATTAGAACATGATAAATTCAAATAAAATAATTATAGCTCATGAAAATATCTCTAGAAATTTTCAAAATTTAGATTTATCTTTAGGAAAAAAAGGTAACCTGATTTTTTTTTTAAAAAAATCATAAACTATTCTAATCGATATCTAACCGCATTTTAAAAAACTTCCACATAAAAACACAAGATGCAACCAACATGAGTGCATTTGAAATTAATGTATGTTGCAATCATTATTGTTTCATGTCATATTTTTGTTGTGGAAAGGTTTTAAAATGTGTTAAGATGTTCAGATGAATATTTTAGGAATTTTTCAAAAATTTCATTATATCCCCCCCTTTTCTAGACCTAAATCTAATTTTTAAGAACTACATGTATTATTATGAGCTCTAGATATTTTGTTTCGATTTCTCGTGTCACAATCCATCTCTAGGAGATTTCTCGACGTGTTTAGAAGTTTAGAGATATTTTTCATGGTTCAAAAATGTATTAGGTGTTTACTAATTTTTTTAGTTATAAGAAAAGGATGAAACTGCTTTAAAAAATCATATGGAGTGGCCTAATCCTCAACATGTGCGTCTTGATACATGTTGCACACAAAATTCTTCTTTCCATCTTTTCTTATTCCCTCTCCGAGTCATCATCTCCAACTGCCCTGTTGCTGCCTAGGCCACCGGCGACCTCATCGTCCACCTTGTGTCGCTGCTGCCGCAACCCCGCCCTTCACTAACGATGCTTTCGATCACCCTTGGCACTGACCCCTGCCCACGAGTTGTCCTCCACCACTAAGCCATCAGCACCGCCACTGCCACCATGTCTCGCCGTCCTAGAACCGACATCGCCATTGGGTTGACCACCGCCATCGAGCATCCCTTTCAGTTTGGAGGACATTGGAGATTGCCCCAAAACCTAAACCTTATCCCTAAGCCCACCTATTTCACTACTGTTGTGCCACACCGTTCCATCAGATGTTCCACAGAAATGCTTAGAAGTTTTTCATATCTGAAAGTTCTAGACTGCTCAGAAAAAGCTTTGAAACAAGAAGAGAAAAAAAATTCAAAATTGATCAAATGAGCTCCAAAAGGTTGTGAGTTTTGCACGCCTTCCCTAACCTCTGGTGAAGATGGTCCCAAGAGATAGTACTCAAAAGATTGAGTTTTCCTCCTCAATTTAACAGATTTTGGAAAACATAAGAAAAGGAGGAATTTAGGGAAACTCAAAAGTCATGGAGCTCAAGGGAGAATTTAATGGAGGAATACCCTAGGATTGCTCACTTATGTCATAGCACCGATTTGGCCCAAAAAATCTGACCCAAATCACAGCCGAAAGCGAAGAACAAAAAATCCCAAAATAGCTCCGAAAATCATTGATAGAAGCTCAAGACTCAAGGGAGATAGAGCTTGCAGCACAAAATCAAATCTTTGATTAGAACTAGATGTTCGGATGCAAGTAGCCACTCCTAAGAAATCAAAGTTTTGAATGGCAAAAAGCTCAAGAACAAGAACCTCTCTTTCTCTCCCTCTCTCTCCCCTCTCTCTAACACTAAGCAAAATTTTCAACCACATAAATGAGAGCCACATCCCAGAGTTGTATTCCCACAACTAGCCATCTTCCATATATATATAGACACTTGGTAATTCTCAAATTGCACTTACATGATATACTCAAACCAAATACACCCCAAGGGTAAAACCATCCAGATAGTTGTTGGTGCATCAGACAGACCCGGCGTTTTCATGACTCAGCTTCGCCTCGATGCATGCTTCACGATGATTCCATTTGTCCTCCAGCTTGTCACCTCGATTTTGAGTCCCAAACCTGTCATATCTGCCACCAGTGGTTTCAAGGTCCAAACCATCAAATTGTCCATGCTCAGTTTCATGAACCAAACAAGCAAACCCTCTTGCATGCCCAACAAGGTGTGACTGAACAATGTCGATGCATGTTGAACTTGTCCTCGGTCCGTTGGTGGACAAAATGCCCATGATGCCTCGCCTTCACTTGGTCTCACCTCGCCTATGACTCTGGTCAACACCGTCTTCATCACCCATGTATCTTGCTCTTCCACGTGCCTAATGTGAGCCTCTCATAGTCCGTTCTCAGACTTTTGGTCCTTCGATCCAAGTTTTCATATGCTCTCTTCACCATCCTTGGTTCATTGTGTATGGACTCTTTCCTTGACCTTCTCCATCACATGCCGACCACCTCAACGCATCTAACACCTACACACTCACAAAGCCCCAAGATACATGTTGCACAACACACTCAACACAACGCGGCGCCTCGAGTTAGCCATTAGCATAAACAAGCACATATGAAATATGAGTTCAATCGAAGAAGCCTCAAACCTCAACCCTTGAGTCAATAATTCATCACACATGGAAGAGAACACTGCACTTCTCAACTTGGTCTCTCAATCTCAGCCTTGATGAATGCATAGAAGAAGGTTTAAAAGAGAAGAGAGAAACCCCCCTCATTCAAGTGTATAAAAGCCAAGTAAAAGCAAACACAAAGCCACTTAATACGAGAAAAGATCATGAAAGATTCTAGTAAAAACTCTCAGTTTGAAAAGAGTATGCAAAAGATAAACATAATGAAGAGTCAAATAAGCAATACAAGAGCCTCGTGCAATCCCAAAAGCTCTCAAAGCCGCAAATCAAACCAAAGTTTTTATAACTTGGTTTCACACTAATACACTGATAGGACAAAATTGTGACAACATCCATGTGTCACTTTAGCTGGCCCTTATTAGGGGTGCAGGCGTGGAGCTGCCTAATGCAAGGAGTGCCTATAAATCCGCACCTGGAGATACTCCCTCCAAATTGTAAGTCTGTTCTGGTTTGACTTTTCTACACACATGGCTTCTACTACGTATCTAGACGTACATAATGTATATTTAGATGCATGGAAAAACTATATATATCTAGAAAAGTCAGAACAACTTGCAATTTGGATTGGAGGAAGTATAATGGGTACTAACGTTTCACACGCCATATTCGTTAACGAGTATCCTAGTACGTTTAGCTTATATAGTAACTCTGTCTGATCTGAAAGGTTGACCACTCATATGTTGTACAGGACAATAATGGCATTTGCCAATAGAAGTAGCACTTCACTTGTTGGACATGTCAGGAACAAATTTTTATTGCAGTTTGGCAGATACGAGAAATACACAAAAAAAAGAGTGTGTAGTACAACGAATGAGAATCAAAAGAATGGATGAAACGAAAAAAGCGCAACCTTATGGCTCATCTTGATCTACGAACAAGTATGTGTTGGGCGGGCACACGATCGACCTCTTTCGTGGATTTCCATTGTTGTAGGTACAGCAGCTGGCTTAGTATAGGCGGTGGTTGACGACGCTGCACTTCTTCCTGATCTCGCCCTTGCTTCCCGCTGGCATGGGCAGCTTGCTGAGCTTGAGCAGCGAGTCGGAGAAGTCCTCGTCCCATAGCGTGCCGTTGTCGCGGTACTCGACGACGTGGCCGAACGCCTCCTTGTGCGTGAGCAGCGTCCAGTCGGAGTGGAAGGTGACGATCTTGGCGAGGTTGTTGTGGTAGAAGGAGTTGTCCAGGAAGTCGGGGATCTTGCGCACCCGGCTGGTGAACCCCGGCGTGAACCTCGCCACCACGCCGTAGTCCTCGTCGCGGACGTTGTTGTCCACGGGCGGGTCGGATCCCTGGGAGCACTTGTAGTTGAGCAGGTCGCGGTACGCCGGGGTGATCTGGCTCGACGGCTCGGAGAGGCGCCCCCTGAAGGAGGAGCAGTGGCCCTGGCCGATGGAGTGCGCCCCGGTGAGGATGACGAGCTCCTCCACGGTGAAGTTCTTCCTGGCGAAGTTGTCGATGAGCTGCTGCACGTCGTGGGTGGAGTCCGGGAGCTCCGCCTGGGCCTCCTCGGCCTTGGAGACGAAGCCGTCCAGGCGGCCCGCGGGGACGTCGAAGTGGACGTGGCCGTTGCTGAGGGCGCTGGCCGCGTCGCGGGCGGCGTAGATGAGGATGTCGGAGCAGGAGACCACGCCGGGGCACCGCTTCTCGACGGCGGCCTTGATCTCCTCCAGGAGCTCGAAGGCGGCGAGGCCGATGTTCACCGGCGCCTTCTTCTCAGGGTGAGGGTTGTCGGAGGAAGCGTCCAGGAGGACAGAACCATCGCACCCCTGCATGTCCAGTAATTAATTAGTTTACCGACCACCGTCAAGTAGTTATACATGCATTTCACGCCACACACTTTACTACTATAATATAAAAATTAGCAGGCGTTCATGAATGCGCATGTTTGCTTAGTGCATGCTTACCCTGACGAAGCAGTCATGGAAGAGGAGACGGACGAGAGCGGCGCCGGTGCGGCGGTTGGCCTTGAGCGCCCTGATAACGTGCCACTTCACCACGTTCTCCACGCCCTTGCACTTCTTGCTGTAGTAGCCGACCTCCAGCTCTTTGGCCTGCGCCGACGGCACGGTGGCGAGGAGGAGCACCGCCGCCTGGACAGACACAAGGGCGCAGAGGACTGCCGCCGAGAGCTTCATTTTTCTTTCCTTTCGGAAGCCTGATCGGCTAAGCTGATGGAGCAAGATAGGTGCTTTGCACTGTGATGTTGTGCTTTGGAGCTGGGCCTGCAGGGGTATATATATTGCCGGGTTTGGCCGGTAGTTTAACGGTTAATGATTGAGCTTGCCGCCGATAATGAGATGGGAGAGCGTAGGCAGGGAACGTGGTCGCCTTGCGACTTCTTTGCTGAATCACAATGTGCCCATAATGTTAACTTCATAATATAGTGCGTACCTAAGAGTTTAGGTGTGCTGCGTGCTGACCTGGTTAAACGTGCTATTATAGGCTGATATATACAGCCAAACAGAGCTGTTTTCTAGTAAAACTCAATGTTCTTCCTGTTTTCCAGGCATTTTATAGGCTGATATTATAAACTGTGTTTGACCGTCTCTGAAAAACCTTTTCACAATAGTTTGTGTAACACATTCATGTACATACAACAATGTCGTGTAACTCAGGGTTTTGAGCTAGGGCAGGCTCAATAAATATTAATGACTTGGATGTAAACTGACACATGACACATGGATGCTAGGTACGCGTGAAAAATAGATTTAGTGCTACACCATCAAAACCATATTGTTGTATGGTCGCACGTACCATATAGGACCTCGCTCGAACACCTACCATACATATGCACATCCAAATAAGGCATCACCTAACGTGTTCAACAACCCTAGCTATCGCGGAGAGTACGCGTACTTAGCTTGTTCTTAATTTCAGGGAGAAAGCTAGCTAGCGTGGAGAACGAAGGTGTGTCGTTGGTGTGTTGCTAGCAGCATATGAATCGTCGTTCAAAGAAGAGCCAGTACGACACGTTGGCGCCTGTCACATCCCAGTTTGTTAGCGCTAACTGGGCGTTGGTTGGTCCATCCGTGATGCGTGGACTGCTACTAAGATCTCGCGCGCGGTCTTCGCAAAAGCCCAAAGTGCTTTTCGTATATCCATGCTGCTGTCAGTGTCAGGCAGCAGCAAGGCCTCATCACCGTTATGAAAATGGAAACTTGGATCGAAAAGCTACCCGGGGACATATTTTATTTGTTTGGACCACGGTTTTGCACCAACTCCCATATATGCTCGCTCGCCTGTTGTCGTTTGTGTTGAATGATTTCAGCAAAATGCAGAAATTAATAAAGTTACGTCCAAGTAGTGTATGTATTGCTTAAAGCTTGATTTTGCTAGTTTAATCGTATTCCCAGAAATCACTCCTTGGAACCATTCCACATATAACGAACTTTTTATTAGATGAATTAAGTCTTTTTAGAGGAATAATAATAATATTATTATTATTTTTGAGAGGAATAAACTTGGTTCATGTAAGGAAAAAAACGTGATCAATCAAATACAGTAATAATCTGCTCCAGGTTTTTGCTGCGATAGTTATGGTTCGTTGTTGCTGCCAAGTATAAACTATGGCCATGGTTTCTGTCAAAATTCATACAGTAACATGTAGTGGATGATTACATATCTAGTTGTAAGCGCAGGAGAGCAGTCGCTGTTCTGCTTCGCTGCACTCAAAATTAATAACAGCTGTGCACTTTAAAATTTTCCCCTTAACCATGCTAATTAGTGGGAGCTTGGGGGGAAGTGTTGCTACCAAGCTTTCTTTTTAAAAGGTTGCATTGGCGTCCTCTAGACTAAAAAAAAAACTTTTATAAAACCCAGCTTACTTTGAAAAGGTATGCTCGTACACTGATCGAAAAAACTTTTTTAACCTAAAACTCGGCTTCTCATCCGTACTTGTTTTTTCTTATATAAGGACCCAGCTGTAGCTCAAAGTATATTAACACAATTAATATACTTTGAGCTACAACTGGTCCTTATATAAGAAAAAACAAGTACGGATCGAAAGGTCTATATGGAATTTAAAATTTAGAAAAATGAATATATTTGAATTTCAAGTTCAAAGTATGTATACACATAATCATGCATTATGCTGGCACAAAATCACAACCAGTAAGGGCTCAGTTTCTTGTTGATCTCCAGTGCTACATTTGTACAGATATTTTCTTTTCTAAATAAAAAGCTTCTTCCCGCTATAATTTGAAGCCGCTAGCAGCTAGCTGATGATGTGCGTCCGACGATTGTGACAAACACACGCGGGTGCGGGTGCCTCCCCACTTCCAAAGAATGAAAGAAATAAATTAACGTTCCCTCGAGGTAGATAACCATATACTCATACAAATTGAAGTAGAGAATTTACAAATGGCGCCGACAGGTCACTGAGTCTTCACGATATATATATATATATATATATCGATGGAGTTGATGTGTATATCATCCATAGTTTAGCTGTCTTGCGCCAGTGGCATATCTGCTTTATTCCCTTACTTGTTCAATAAACAAACTGGCTGGTGACTTTTATTATTGTTCAACAATCTTATCTTATCTACCCACGGAAAGACTTGAGCTATAGCTTACCTCTGGAGCACATCACATGCATGCATGCTCCGGCCAATGCAATGCAAGTTCCTTCCAGGCACGCATACCATCAGCATGTGCAAACTCTATGCATTGTGTCGTCTGGTATGATTTGCTATCGATCAATTATATATACTTAAGCAAACATATTGTTTTGGTTCGAGCCGGAGATCATGCATGCATACGGTTCCATGCATGGACAACAACTACAGTCTAACATGGAGGCCGGTTTGGTGGTTTTAAATTGCATTGGCTAAACAATTGTTGCATATTATTTTTTGGAAGAGAATTGTTGCATATTACTATGAACGACTGTGTTGCATGTTTTAGCTACCTAGCTCCAAGGTGTACTGTACAGTAGTGTATGATTTGCACGATCGATCGATGTGTGATGGACTGTGGCGCACATGCAAGCAAAAACTAGTGCGTCGTCGTCGCTGACCCTTCGATCGCGTGGTGCTCTGAATCATGACGTTTCGGTCCATGAGGCCTGAGGGCATGCGGTGGGGCGGGGTAGGTCGTATACAGGGCTGGATATCAAGCCGGCTCGGCTCGGTCTAGCTCGAGCTGGCTCGTTAGCCTAATGAGCTAGCTCGGCTCAGCTCGTTAATATTACGAGCTAGAGGACAGCTCAACTCGGCTCGTTTATCTCGCGAGCTACTACAAAAATAAACATGACACACATGTTTATAGTGTTTATGCTATATTAATTTCAGAAGGTCACATCCACTATTATGCAACCATACATGATTAATACACATCAGGTTCATTAAAAGTATCAACCATGCAACATAGTTGATCCATCCATGCATGATCCATGCAGTTTCAGCATACTTACTAGTTGATTGCCACAACAGACTTAGAAAAGTTCACAAATTCAATATCAGCATCACCATCTTCTCCCTGAAAAATAATCTATAAATCAACATTTAAGTACCACGACAATTATAAAATCAAAATCTATATGAAACAGTTGAAAATAAGGATTACATACCAATAAAATATGTTGACATTTCTAGATCAGCATCATCATGTTTTGGATTCATGGTCGTAGGCTGATAGGCCTCAGCTCGTTTTAGCTCGTGAGCAGCTCGCGAGCTGGCTCGTTAAAACAGCGAGCTAGACTTCCAGCTCAGCTCGTGAAAAAATTAAAACGAGCCAAGCCGAGCCGAGCCGAGTCGAGCTGTCCACGAGTCAAGCGAGTTGGCGAGCCCTACGTGTATACGACATTTTCCACACGGTTGTTGATATACGGAATCCCTAATACTGTAGTCACAATGATTCCTAGACAGACCGAATAAGGTCTGGAAGCTGTGTGTGTGTATATACACTGGCGGAGGGTAGTGGAGGCCAACTGGGTTGCCCCCCCCTGCTCCATGCAGGCCCCCCTGCTCCATGCAGGCCTGCAGTTTTGTTACCTGTTGCTGCCAAAAAAAAATCAAACTGTTGCTGCCGCTATTTGGAGAAGATGAACAGCTCCAGGGCTTCGTTTCTTATTGCTTTACCGACGATTGTATCCACGCACGGTGGCCCAAAAACAAGCTGTCCAGAGCTGGCAAGTCTGCCATTGCTCTCTGTAGCAATAGAAATTGCCCCCGCTTGATTTGGTGCTGTGCTCCGCCATTGTGTATATATATATAATTCCACAAATGATGAAACACGAAGTTCATCATGCACGTTGTTGTTAATGAGTAATTCACACACACAAAATACATAAACAGAAAACTAGCCAGATAAGTTGCTTGTGGAACAATTTACGCGCCGTGGCACATGCATGACATCGTCTTGCATATATGTGAGAGAAGTTCAGATGAACAGCCAAATTAAAATGAAACTAAAACTATTTATACATATCATATAAAAAAACTATATATGTACAGTTGCGTGTGGAATTGAAGTTGCACGCACGCCGCAACTAACTGCACAAGCACTACTCCACGAACTAACCGCGTGTCTCTGTCTCATTCATCTCCATCACCAGCCTGAAATTAAAATCATTAGAGACGACGATTAACTACTCGTTCCACTGCACGCACGCGGTCAATGCAATGGTGAGCTTGCAATTGCAAGCACGGTTGCGGTTGGTGCCCGACCCTATTCGCTCAATCAATGGATCGAAAATGATCCATCGTCACTTGCTACTTTATTAATCTCATCATCATTTTACCTTTGTGTGTGTAACCGTAGATCCGGGTAA